CGCTCTGGGGCAGGCGCCCGGGGCGCGGGGTGCCCGGCGAGGGGGCGGCCCGGGCGCACGCCCCCCGCCGCGGGCGCGCCTTACTCGCGAGGAAGCCCGCCCGGCGCTGGGCCGAGCGCGCGCCGCGCTCCCCCGAAAACGCCGCCCCGAGCGGTTCCCCCAGACGGGCGAGGCTTTCGGGCGCGTTCCGGGACCTGCCAGCGTCCGGACGGGACCCCGAATCCTCTTTCCGGGCCTTCCCTTACAACGTGCCCTTGTTGCCGTGGGGCGAAGGGAGCGGGGGCGTGGGGGGGCGCTTTGCGGATCCTGCCCCCCGGAACACCTGCAGCGGGCAGTTAATTCGGATTGAATTCCAGCGTGGGACCGGATCGGGGTGGCGGGCCTTCAAGCCGGGCGGGTGCCTGGACCCCACCCACCCCGCGGCCTCCCTTGGCTTCTCGATTGTCTCTGCGGGGGAGAATCGAGTCGGTGCAAAGTGTCCCCCACTCCCCCCACTTTGTGCCCCGGGGGGATCCTCTTCCCAGGGGCCTTCGCATGCCAGTTTGGGGGGGATTTGTGGGACCCCCCCTTGACTCGGTTCCTCTGCAAGTGGGACACGCTCGTTGCCATCTCCATGGTGCTGGAGTAGGATCCGAGTGGATCCAAGTGATTTCCTCGATGCGTGAAAATAAAAAATAAAAAAATACACATTCCACTGACTGGGTTCAAGCAGCACTAGCCTTGGGGGCCCGGTGTAAGTTGCTGAAATTGGAGTTATGAACCCCCCCTAACTAGCAAGGGCTTCCTAACCAGGCGCAGCCCCCAGAAGAGAATCCATGGCTTGTTGTTCAGTGCGTTGCTTATCACAGTTTTGTCTTGGGAGGTTTCCAGCAACAGGCTAAGGGCTGAGCTCGGGTTGTTGGGTTGTGGCTGGAACATGGGTTATTGTGTGGCCTACAAGCGATGGTTTGTCGAACCGATGCAGCTCGTGAGAACCTACGATTTGTACTGGGTGGAGAGCTGTGGGTTGTTTGTGGGTTGCTATCTGGGCTGTGTGGAGAGTGTGATACTGATGACGGGTGGCATGTGGGGGAAGCTAGTTGCCGTGCGAGTGTGTCCAGGCCTGGTGTGGGTAATCCGGTTCTTTCCAAAGAAAAGGAACCTTTTCCCTCATTGGGGGGGGGGGGGGAACTTTCCAACATCTTAAAAATGCACGATTAGCCAAAATAAAAAAAAAATCTAGATTCCAGACTTTTCCAGAGCAAACTTTGTCAGCGAAAGTTTGCTTAAAGGGGCAGGGATTGGAGGCATGTGATGGGCAAAAGAAAGATTGTGCCATCCCTTGTGTGTTGGAAGCAGGCCAGTCGGTGATTCCCAAACACGCTGAGAGTTCCTCCCTGGTGGAACACATATTTTGCATGCAGAGGGTCCCAGTTTGGTCCCTGACTTTGGTCTTTGGGTCCAATTGGGAAACGGTCCCTGCCTGAGTAACTCAGCCTCGAAGATAGCTGCTTGTGTTCGTGTCCTGGCCAGTTCTGTATTCATGGCCATGAGGACTAGAATCCTGTTTTGTATCTGGGAGGTGAAGTTCCACACCACTCTTCTGTCTGCAGAAGCATCTTCCCTTCCCATCCCATTAACGGAGCAAAGCAAGGGGAGGGGGGAATGTCACCCCCATTCCCAGAAACAGCCAAGAGGGTTATCTTGTCTTCAACAACTGTGTGAACCCGTCCCTGTTCGAGGTTCCCTGAGTCCGTTGAAACCAGGTGAGCTCATTCAGAAGTTTTCTTCAAGAGCCCCCCCCCCCGCCCATTCCCACGGTGTCCTGGCTGTGAAGGAGCCCTGTGGAACACAAAAGCTTGCATGCCACATGGGGAGTCTGAGCAAAACAGCTTTCCAGTGCCCTGAATGGGCTGCAAGACCAGAGGAAACTGAACGGGATTTGCTCCGAAAGCTCTCGAGCGTCTCAATGCCGCGTCTTGCTGTGTTATTATTTTGTATTCCTTTTTCATTTATTGGAGCGGCGACCAGACCGGCCGGCCGTGCATTGCGTCCAGCGGCCTCTCAGGTTCATTTCCCGATCTCGCAGCGAGATGGGTGTTGGAGTGACTGGCTGCCACGGAAGCACCCTTGCTGCGTTTATTCCACACGTACGCTTTTAAAATTATTATTTTCTTAACATAAACGAGGACACGAAAAAGAACATGAAGCAAAGCGAACTAAAACGAAGTTGCCAGGGGAATTTTAAACAAATGCTACCAATACATTCAAACCCCCAAGTTTTATCTATTTTTCTCTTAACACTCTGTGGGAGTTGAGCAAAAAAACTGCCTTGGGGTGAGAATCACGAGGTCCCAGAAGTCGCATTGCCCAAGCGGGCTAGTGCCTGTAGCATCATTTCCTTGGGGTGATTTTGTGACTCTTGCAAAATGCAGTGAACGATAAATGTGAACTTTGGGAAATACGTCAATAAGTATTTAAAATGAATACGAATATCAGCAAGGAACATTTCGGAGCTGCCTTTTAAATATTGTAGTTGTGCTTCGCTCCTCAGGTCGATGTGGGGGCCCTTTATCGCTTTTGGGTGGTGTATTCTTGGGCGCTCGGTGCAACGTGGGTTGTGAGGTGTGTGAAGCGCCTGAGTTGCTTCACTGGTGCAGGGATGTTTGGGGAGAGCAGAGGGTGTGGATCCCCATAAGGTCTCCAGAGGGTAAGGCTTGAGTTGTCCTGGGCTGGGCATCTTGGGCTTCCTTCGCCCCAGGCATCAGCGCCCCGGGAGGTACTTGCTTAGGGGACTCCTGCCTGGTCGATTCAATCTGTTTTCTCTCGGGTCTTGCTCCTGTCCCCCTGTTTCTCGGCTCTTCCTGCTGCTTCTCCTTCAGGGCCTGGCTGGAGCTTTAGCGCAACATTCCTTGTGGGAATCATACCCAGATCTGCGGCCAGCACCCCGAGAGAGGCAGCGTGGCGTAGTGGTTAAGCGCATGGGACTGGGACTCAGACAACCTGGTTCGAGTCCCCGCTCAGCCATGGAGCCAACTGGGTGACTTTGGGCCAGTCACAGACTCTCAGCCCAGCCTACCTCACAGGGTTGTTGTTGTGGGGATAAGATGGAGGAGGAGAATGATGTCAGTGGCCTTGAGCCCTTGGTAGGAAAAAGGCAGGATGCCAATAAAAATAAATAAAAAATAAAATAAAAACCGCTGTGGCTGTGAAAGGAGCGGAGTGCATTTCTAGGTGTGGGTAGGAGGAGAAGCTTAGTCTCGTGTGTGAGATTTCAGAAGGCTGAATGTTTGTATGTGGTGGGCACTGTTAGGATAGAAAAGGTCCCTGCCTGCAAGGAGCTTACAGTGTAAAATGGCAGCCAGCA